TTCTATAAGTGACATTAAAATTATTGCCATATTATTATATTCAGTATAAAAATAAATAAAATTAAAAAAAATCACCTTCTAACACTCTCTAAATTATTATTAAGATTATAAATAAAAACACTTATTCATTTTAGAGGTTATGTTTTCTAATTTATTTAATAAAAAATATAAGCTTTTTTCACATATATAAGCATCAATAATTATAATACTTATAATCTTATATACATCATTCACATACATAATAAGTTGTAAGTGTGCTTACAATTACAAGTTAAAAATGGTACAGGTTTTTTTTACATCATCCGATCCTCTTTTCAGAAAAAATAATTATCCGTAGCCACCGTTTCATTATTTAGAGAATTTCAATATTCTGGGATTGATTTATTTTTAACCAAATACTAATTAAATTTATTTAACAAAAGAGGTTAGGCGTTAATGAAAACTGAAGATAGAAACTGAATTTTATTGACAGTCTGATAAGGAAAATACATGATTAGGATTCGACCAATGTCGTAGCTGATTCGCCTGTTATACTGATACACAAATGACATTTTTAAATGCGTAGATAATTACAATACATGTAGAAACTAGTATAACGAATCGATGCTTTTAATAGGACATTTCTTCTAGCCAACTCAGAGTCAATGTCCTTCAACGAAAAAAATCGAATCGAGGAAAGATAATTATTCCGATTAAGATTGAATATTTCTTTTTGTAATTACATTATTTAAATTAAAATTTTATTAAAATAAAATTTACCTCTCTTCTTCTACTCTTCATTCTTTTCTAGATTTTATTATTGAAGACGCTGTATATCAACCTTAATACCTTTTTTTATATGCAAATTTCATTTTTATGCATAAATTTGTTAATACAATGATTGAGCTCTATAACTTCTTATCCTCTAATATAAGAAATTATATAATATTTCAATATTTGTAACTATTTTATGAACATATAATTCCTCTCAAAAATTTTTTGTTAGCATTTCCTGATTCTATCTTTTATAAATATTTGCCCTTACCCTTCTACATTTTCTCTTTCCTCTTTCTTTGTCAGGAGGATTTTCTAATTTACATTGAAACCTCTTAAAAGAATCAATAGTGTTTAAACCAATAGTGTTTCTATTACTAATGATTAAATTTCCGAAACTCAACCGTTGGTTAGAAGATTTGTAATAATTTTAAATCTCAATCTGAACTTGCAAAATATTCTTATACATGAACAGGTATTTATGAATACTCAAATCATTAAATGATAAAATGTTCATTAATGTAAAATAAAATTGAATAAAAAACATGAAATAGAAATTAATATATTCTCTAATTTTTTGGATCTATTTAAATTATATTTTAAAAAAAATGTATACGTTATAATATGTAAAACATTAAACAAAACAAAAGTAAAATAAAGAGACTATTGAAAATATGACTATATTTATATGTACATATACTTTTCTTTCTCTCTCTCTCTCTCTCTCTCTCTCTCTCTCTCTCTCTCTCTCTTTGTGCGCGCGCGCGTACATAATAAATTTTTCTAACTTACTTTTTTTTTAAATGAAAAGAGATCATTGCTACAATTATATAGCACATATCCCTGTACTTAAAAAGTAATGCTACCTATTGATTTATAATAATTGTCTTTGGTAACAGTATGAAGTTCAGATATGTCAATTTGATTTAATATTGTTTTTCCAAACAGTATATCCTTATGTACCTAAAACATGAAATAAGTCATTATTTTTTCTTATTACTAATTTTATAACGAATTATAGATAAATCCTATTACTTTTAATATTTCATTTGCGTCATATCTTTCCTTAAACCTTGCTGAGTAATCATCTTTGAATGTTGTATTCATTAGAGTGACATGCAATTTTATTTTTTCATATTCTTTCTCCATTAAACCTAAAATTGAAAATTGTACAATGAAATAAATGAGATATTACAGTTAATATTAATAAAAATATTTTTTAGAAAATTATATAATCAAAGAAGTTAACATAATTACTGTTTTGATCAAAATTGCATAAAATATATCTCAAAGATATTCAATTCTATATAAGATATATAATATATTATTTACCTATGTCAATAAAGTATTCAGCAACTTTATCAACGAGTTCTTGCAATTTTTCGTTGGATGCAATTTGTGCAAATAAAACTTTAACATCAGTAGGATCATCATTCATACATGCAACTCCTTGTAACTGTATATTTATTGACCCCGTTTCTTCAAGAATAGGACTGTAGAGTAGAATATATAATTATTTAAACATCTTTTGAAATAATTACAATCTATCATATTTATGTAACATGTAATTACAAAACTAGATTATATTATATTAATTTTCAATTAATATCATATAATTTAATTTTGCAAGATTAATTATACATAATATGCTATTATTGTATAAAGTCAGATATCTTACTCTATAATATTTTCTTTACAATTTGTGAGAGCATCGATAGCATGCTTTTTCTCATTATCATCAAATAATTTAAGCATGCCAATGGTAAGGTGTAATTTAGATGGATTTTGAAAAAGTGACTCATCAATATTGTGTGTAGTTTTCTTATACTTCTCCAATATATCATTCTTGAAAGAAATATATTTATCAATTATCTCTTTTTTATTTAATGGAATTGACAAAAAGTGTGTATAGTGTATCTTTTTCTTTGAGGCTTCTATTAGTAAATCAATTCTATGTCTTGCAGATATTATAGCTTTACGTTCCCGTGCAGTAATAACTACAAATAAATATATAATATTTAAAAATTAATTAAATTCATATTTTTATATATAATATTATATAAAAATTGGAATTTAGTTAATTTTTAAATTTATATTTTTATATAATATATAATATTTAAAAATTAACTAAATTCATATTTTTCTTATATTAACGACTGCATTTTGTAAAATATATGATATACATGATATATAATCATTTTATATGTATCCTTGTTGTTCATTGAATAAACAAGAATAAAATTATACTTCAAGCACATTATATGCTTTATAGAAATATTAAAGGAATATCAAATGATTTTCACCAATGTTTCCATCTTTCCCTTTTTTTGGTATATCAATAGTTGTTCTTGTGTCATGTTCTAATTTCTTGCGTGTTAAACCTTTTGTACCAATTATGTGTGAGTAAAAAATTCTAAAACATTATAATAAAATGATAAAATATAAATTATTACCATATTAAACAATACTTATATATTATTAAATTTTGACTAATATTACAATTATGATAAAATAATATTTAAAATAATTCTTACTTGGGTACATAAAAAGTATGCTTAAACAATGTATCATGAGGAATTATTTCTATATCAGTTTCAGATTCCTCATTTGAACATATTGATTCTTTATCCTCCATATATGGAGCTGATGTATGAATGTTTTTCCAGGCAGTATTTTCATAAAATCTATAGCAGCGTCCATTAACCCAAATTAATTCTGGTTCTAACACATCCATTATATAAAATGCAATATGTTTTATATAAAGACCCCTAAAATTTGTTAAATTACTGATGTATTAATTTTTATAGATATACATTTATATATGATATAAATAAATATTATACATTATATATATATATATAATGTATAATATATATATATAATAAACTATACATAAATCCTCAGAATTAACTAAAATAATATTTTAATATTTTAAAATATAAATAAAAGTGAGCATTTTATATTTTATCACTTAAAAATCACAGAATATAAAAAGTTTTACAAAACACTGCTCCAATATAGATATTGTACAGAAACTATTATTTATATAAAACATAATGTTTAGCAATTTAAACATTATACAGGTATAAAATACTATATAATTCGAATAATTTCTAAAATTAAAGATTAAAGTATATTCATTATGCACATATTTATGAGGTGTAAATTACACATCGCAATGTTCAAATTTTACATATAACTTAACACACAAATTATTTTAACACATGAATTAAATAAAATAACCGACACAACATAATCATGTTGCACATTAATCACTACATTAAGTAAAGATGTAATTTTATTATATTTTAATCTTGTATTTAAATTACTTGTTTGGAGTATACTCCTTTAGGTTAGAGGTTGGCGTAATAGGCTATCTAACAAAAACATCACACGATAAATAAATAATTATCACACTGTTATTAAGGCTGTTATTTGTTTACATAATGCCTACGTTTTCAATGCATTCAACATTAGGTATATTATTGACACAAATATAATAAAATTGCTTTTTTTTGAAGTGTTTGGTTATTGACCAATCATGAACAACAATCTTCTATGAGAGCATAAAGTGAGACTGGTGAGAGGAATACGAGATAACAGTGAAGATCTATCCAAACGGATTTAAGTAATCGCACAAAGAAATTATGTCAAGTTAAAATAAGAATAAGCCATATTTGAAAAATTCTTTCTACCACTATTTTCAAAATGTTAATACAAATCATTACAAATTTTTATATTACAATATATTTACATTTAATTTTTTTTTTTAAATCAAGATACTATCTTGATTTTTAAGAGAAAAAATTTAATTGAAAATATCCTCTTAATATCCTCTCTTGTAAATGTTTATTAAGATTACCTTCGAAAATAATTAGTAAAAAAAACTGTATCATTTATTACGTTTACCCGACTCAATTTACGTCGAAGATATATATTAGTGTTATAAAACTGGCCAATCGTAACTATTCCTCTGAAGAATGGAATAACTGTGATTAGGTAATTTTATGACATCGATGTTATAACTTCGGTATAAATCGAACCGTATAAGTAGTCATTTATGCTCATTTCTACCAATGTAGATTAACTTTAATCCCGGAAATCCTTAGAATTAGAAAAAGACGAAGAATAAGTTGAACCGAGATTAAAGTTAATCTACGTTGGTGGAAATGAGTATTTTTTGTAGTTGTAAATTATATAGAAATTTCATAATTTAAATGATATATTGTATAATACGCCATAATAAATAAACTAAAAATAAAATGAATATTTATATTTATTGCTTTGATAACTGGGTGCAAACGTATGCAATATAATTGTTTCACAATCAAAAATTATGATTCTTTACTTAAAGAATACATTCATTATTTATATAAATTAGAAACAATAAAATTGCTTTTAGATGATTACGTGAAATTATGTTAACATCAATTAATTATGTCAACATCAACTGATGTTAACGTTAATTCATATATATAATTTATATTTTCATATATATAAATAGATCGAACTATTGCAAAAATGCAGAACGCTATTCTCACAAAAACAATTATTATCAGTAAATGTAGAGTTCTTTTTTATTAAAACATTCTACATTACTTCCGTTTCGAAAATCACGCATCACATTTTTGTAACGTATAAAGACAAAATGTCGGTAGTACAAAATTAAATTTATAAATGCAAAATTTATATTTTTATCTTTTGTTCTTTCAGTTTTTATAAATATCAAAGTCGTGAGTCAGCAAGCACAACAGCAACCCAATGAAGCAGTTAAAAATTCATTTATAATCTTAAGTAGTCATTTATAATTATTTACAGAAGTTGCATAACGTATATAAATAAATATTTTTATTGAGTATTAATTTTAAGACACTGATACCGAAAGGTAGGTTCAAATCTTACACAACTATCAGAGTATATAGTTTACACTGTGTGTGTATATTGGCATATAAGTTACAATATTTATAAAAGATATACATGCATAGTTAGCATGTATAAATGAACATATGTCAAATTTACACATAAAATATGGGAAATTAAAAATTTGCTAAAATTTATTAACTGCTAAATCATGAAAAAACGTTTATCACGCATATACAAACTTGTCTATTTTACAATAATACAATTACAAAGGTATATCTACATACGAGCCTAAATATATTTATCTAAATATATTTCGCAGTAGTCGAAGTGTGCTCGCAATAAATAACAATTTTTCATTTTATAAATTATAGCTAATCCTCGTCTGTACCTTTCTGATACACTGCCCCGAACTTGCTCATGTACTTACGTACAAAATCTCTTGCTTTATGTTTAACATTTTCATTACATTGTAATTCGTCCACGCTTTTACAATGTTTTAATTCTTTTGCAAGTACAAAATGTGTTAACTGTAATAAAATGTGTAATTATAAAGATCACTTTTGTATGATAAATCTGTCATGCATAAATACTCAACATACCTTTCTAGCTAGATGCTTGAAATCTTCAGTATTAGTTATTCTACCTTGTTTGCAATCATTTTTCCTATATGGATTTAAGAAGTGAACCATTACATTAGCCATGTTTATTCTAAATGTATCTTTAATTTTCCTTTCTGACATAGGAGACATCTCAGCTGATGTTGATTGCAACTTGTTCATTCCATGTCGCGAGTAAGACTTCGATTTATTACTTCGTCTATGTTTTCTTAATTTCTCAACATGATCTTTTAGTTTTGTCCTTTCTTTCTGTCGTCGTAATTTATCTTTCATTTCCTTATACGTCTTATGATCAAGACGATCATCTTCCCTACGTGGCTACAAATAAATATCACAATGGATTTATTAAAAAATCGACAAAGTTATAACAATTTTAAAGTTATATTAGTTGATAAAGGAGGATATAATATTTTTCACATTAAAATAAAGTTAATAAATATTCCGCTAACAATATAAATAAGGATTTTATTTTTTATTTCAATGTATCGATTTTTCCTTGAATGTAGCATCATTATTATAATAACTTTCGGTTGCCATGAAGAAAAATACATAAGAAAATATAGAAATAAAACAATCCCTAAACGGTCGCGAAAAAATGAAATTATATCCTCTTTTAATATTGTAATATAAGCAATGGAACAAGTTCTTTTTTTTTTTTTAAGATTGAATGTTTTATAAAAATTTTAAAGAGTACATTTTAAAATCCTTAATGTACACGTAACTGAGTCATTCGTGTCCTGCGTATTTCTTTTCTTTTAAGTATTAAAAGCACTTGGCTAAATAATGTTCGTTAGACTTTTTCTATAAAAAAAAGGCTGATGTCTAAGGAACAAGTTTTGTGTGACAAGGTGCGTTGTCAATTTCCTTTCGTGCGTATTCTTCGACAAACGCCTCGGAAGTTCAACTTGAATCACAAATAACCCAATTGTGTATAGTACTTTTTCTGTAGTATTTGAGAAATGTTTATTTCTTTATGTTTAATTCATTCCCATTTAGATTATAAGGATTTAATTATTAAAAAATTAAAATTTAAATAATTTTGTGCTAAAATGTCGAACTATCATTACTATCATTACATTTGTTATTGAATGCTATAAATAATATTAAAAAATGTTTCTTCTAATTAGTTGTAAAATCTAATCTACAATGTGCAGATTATCTTTATTTCCTATCTCGAAATTTATCTCATGCCTTTTCCTTCTCTTTAACTGCTTTATCGCGTATCTTTTTGCGTGTTTCTTGTCTCTTTCGAAATCAATTTTTATCTCGGGCAACAAAAAATGAAAAACTGGATAAGAGGTAAAAAGGCAAGAAGTTATCAAAAACAAGAAAAAAACAGAAAACGAAGACCACATTGTGTATTACGCTTAAATTTTTGTAAGGCAATATTAATGATAAATTGTTTAATAAAATATATACTAAAAAATGTAATATATATATTCAAAATATAATTCAATTTATACTCATTCATATATGTTAAAAAAGACGTCATTTTCAGGTTACGGAATAATCTAACTTTTTGAATAATCGACAATCTTAAATTTTTTCTCTTTTATAATTTAAATGTTAACTTTAAGGTATATAACATATTTTTCTTTAAATCACTCAATGTTTTATAGTTTTGAATTTTTATATAACAAAGCGCATTTCTCTCATTTTGTAAACTGCAATTAGTTATAACATTTATATATATAATTCTTTTACATAATTTTGTTAATACATGACTTTATGAATACTTTCTAAGACATCAAATTATGTGTAAGAATCACTTAATAATTTCTGTATACTTATAAAAGTGATGAAAATTAACCCAAAACACTAACGACTCATCACATATAATAACGGATCAGGAAATCATTGTGTATATTAAGGATTCATGTTAATATAAGAACTAAATTATACTTACACTAATAATTCTTTCTTGGACCAATCCATCTCTTCTCTTCTTAGATTCGGGAAACGGCAGTGAACTTCCAGTCAGATTATGACCACTTAATTTTTTAGATACATTTGGCCTGGATGTGCTCAAAGAACTGTCTGTTAGAACGCTACTTGCCTCCATATCATCGTTTCTTTGATCTTCGTTATGATCATCATCAATATCTTCATCATCCTCATTTGATGAACTGGATTCATCACTAGATTCCGAGGTAGACGACGAATCTGGCTGTACTCCAATATGATCGGGTGGTGGAGGTAACCATTGCGATATTCTTTCCTTCACGTGATAATAATATGTTCTACCTCTGCTATCCGTCGCACTCTTCCATTTTGGTGGCAAATCTATTGCCGGAACTTCAGGTTGTGGTCGACTCGTGACATTTTCCGCGGACGTAAGATTAGAGAATTGTTGATCTGCGGGATTTTTGATACGATTATGAAGAAGCGTTTTAATTGATATAGACGAAATGCCGTAAAGAACAGACACTAAACTGTTTGAAAGAGGTAGTTGCCCTTCGGTATACGGTTGCGGATGCGATATCAAAGAGTAGGAAGATGTTTGACTGAACACAGGAGTTTGACTTAATGAGTAAGCTACTGGTGGTGGTACACCAGGTGGAATACCAGTCGTAATTCCGGATGACATATCATTTGTCATTGATGATGATAATACATGAGGACTTTGACCTATTATACCAGTAGATGGAGCACTTCCTACATATACAGGAGTACATTGTTGTGTCGCTTCTCCACCATCTATAAA